TAGACCTTCAAGCCCTTGCTAAAAGGGCTACAAGAGGCTTCAAAATCCTTGCTGAAAGGATTGATGTTGGGTGAAAGAAAAGTGAAGAGGATTAGGGGGTGGGAGAAGGAATTACAGATGGCAAATCCTTGCCAAAAGGATGAGATGAAAGAGGATGAAATGCCTAGCCCCATGTGCACAAGGCTGCTGCAGCTCTGGAGCCAGGGAAGAATATCAGCAACTCAGGCTTGTGAGCTAGCACACATGAATGTACTTGGAGGCGATCAACACTCAGAGATGATGAGCCTTGCCAAATGTGGGAACTTTCAAGAGAGCAAAGGAAACTGCCACAGGGACCTTCTGGCATGGTGCTGCAGAAGCATGGGGCTGCCTCAGCCCCAGGAAGTTGTGGTGCCAATGCTTGATTTGAAGAGCCAGAAGGAAGTCCAGACAGGGGCATCCATCCTTTTGCCACATCTTCTTTTTTCCAGGCTCAGTGACAACTATGCCGATGCCTTTGAGAAGCTATTTTGCACACAGCACTGCCAGGCCTTCTGGCATCAGGTTCAGCATGTGAAAGATCCATGGCTGGCTGAACCACTTGCCAAAAGTGGTGTTGTTCAAGCTCCAGCCAAGACAGTGCCAGTCTTTGTACATGGAGATGGCTGTGAATTTCAAAACAGGGACAGCCTGATGACTTGGTCATGGGGCAGCCTGCTTTCCAAGCAGAGCTGCCTCAACAGCCATCTCCTGATTTGTGCAATACCCAAGAGCTGCACACTACCCACAACATGGCCTGTGTTGGATGCTTGGATTGCATGGTCTTTTGAGGCTTTGGGCAAGGGGTGGCACCCCTGTGAAGACCCTTGGGGTAACCCCTTGCCCAAAGGGGAGTTGGCATCCTTGGCTGGCAAGCCCTTGACAAAAGGGCACCACAGGGCAGCACTGTGGTCAATACAAGGTGATGCTGAGTTTTACTCAAATGTGCTCAAGGTTGGACACTGGGCCTCCCAGTATCCTGGCTGTGCGACTGCCAGCGACCAGTGTTCAGAAAAGTGCCATGCCCTGCTGGCAAGTCAGTGAAGCTATTGAAAGCATCAGAGCAAGACTACAAATATGTAAGCCCAGCAGAGGCACTCCTTGCCAAAAGGAGCAATCATGCACTCTTTCAAATCACTGGTGTTTCAACAGCTATGATCAGGGGTGATGCCCTGCACATATTGTATTGCAAGGGTGTTGGGTCGCACCTGGCAGGCAGCCTGCTACATTACATGGCCTTCTATGATTGGCCTAACAGGCAGAAAGTCTCAGCCTCCAAGAGGATCCAAGTGATATTTGCCAAAGTGAAGGACATCTATTCTGAAAGAAGAATTTCCAACAGACTGACCAACCTCAGACTGTCGATGATCACAGACACTCAGTCTCCTTTCAAGGCCTTCCCAGTCTTGGAATGCAAGGCTGCAGAATGCAAATGGTTTCTGCCAGTGTTGGAGCAGATTTTGGCAGATTGCCTGGATCTTGGAGTTGACATCCACCAAAGCATGGTGCAGTGCTGCAAAGCCTTCAACCAGTTGGTGCAGCACTTCGATGGCTGTGGTGCTTTTCTCACTGCTGCAGAGTTTGCAGCAGCACAGGAGCTTTCCACAAGCTTTTTCAACCTATACAGTAGGTTGAACTGCTGGGCAGCAGAAGAAGGAAGGAAGCTCTTTCACATCACCTTCAAGTTCCACTCCATGCTCCATTTGGTTCAGAACAGCAAATGGATGAACATCAGGCTGCGTGCCAACTATAGAGCAGAATCCTTTGTGGGACAGATGTCTGTCATTGGCCACAGTGTGAGCTTTGGAAACAAAGCTACAAGAGTTTGCACAAAACTCTTGCAGAAGTACTTGGTACTTCTGCACCTGCAGCTCACCAGGCCTGGCTTTGGCCATCAGCCAGAGGATGACTGTGACCCTTAGGTGTGGAAACCTTGTCAAAAGGTTGAACACCTTGGCAAAAGGTGTGGGCACCTTCATGTGAACACCTTGACAAAAGGTATGAACACCTTGGCAAAAGGTGTGTGGACACCTTGACAAAAGGTGTGTGGACACCTTGACAAAAGGTGTGAACACCTTGACAAAAGGTGTGTGGACACCTTGACAAAAGGTGTGAACACCTTGGCAAAAGGTTGGAACACCTTGGCAAAAGGTGTCAACCCCTTG